GTACCTCTGTCCTTACAACTTTGGTTTAGGGAGCACCTGTACCCTTCCAGGTGGGCCCTGTGGAAGGTTTCCCTTTGGAGCTGAAAAGGCAAGTAGTTTTTCCAAAGATGGGGATGAAAAGCGGTGAGCCTCTTTGATACGTTCAGCTGCGCCGTTTAAGAATGGAACTTTTCAGGAGTGGAAGCTGGCAGAGCAAATGGAGTGGAGAAATTGGCCTCCAGAGGGAGGGAGGGAGGAGAACGGAGGACGGGCCCCTTCAGCCAGTGTGGTGTGGTGGTTAAGAGCATGGGACTGGGACTCAGAGGATCTAAACTGAGTATTCCTAAACTGGGGCTGAAATCATATGGCAGTAGGGTGATGGAATCACCGTGCTGGAAGGGCTAAGAAGGATATCGGCTCCAAGCCCTGGTCCCTACATCCCTCCCAGAGGGCTGCCTGGCTGCCCCTTGAAGGCCTCCAGTGTGGGAGAGCCCACCACCTCCGTAGGTCACTGGTTCCACTGTCGTATTGCTCTCAAGTCAGGAAATTTGTCCTGCTACCCAGCTGGAATCTGGCTTCCTGGAACTGGATCCCATTATTCCATGTCCTGCCTTCTGGAATAACCAAAAGAGACCCTGTCCTTCCTCTTTGTGGCAGCCTTTCAAGTACTTCTGGGGTCCTATCCTATCTCCCCTCAGTCTTCTCTTCCCAAGGCTAAACATGCCCATTTTTTTCAGTCTCTCCTGTCTCCAGTCCCCGGATCGTCCCTGCTGCCCTCCTCCGAACCCTTCCCAGCTTGCCTGCATCTTTCTGAACTGTGGTGCCCAGAACTGGACCCAGCGCTCCGAATGAGGCCTCACCTGTGCAGAGTGAAGTGGATCTAGTACTTAATGGGGTTCGGAAATGGGACTTCTGTTAATTCAGCCTAAAACAGCATTTGCCCTTTTGGGAGCCACATCACTTCGCTGGCTCATATTTAGCTTGTTATCTAGGAGCACTGCAGGATCCTTCTCACACGCAGCACTGCCGAGCCAAGTGTTCCCTGTCTTGCAATGATGCATTTGATTTCCTTTTTCTGGGTGCAGGACTTGGCGTTTGTCCAAGTGGCTCTGCTGTTGTCAGCCCAGTGTTCCAAACTATCAAGACCGCCTTGAATCTTCTTTCTGTCTTCCAGGAAATTAGCTCTGCCACCCAGTTTTGTGTCATCTGCGAATTTGGTGTTTGTTCCCTGCAAATAGTTGCAAATCAACACGTTTTTGTGGTCAGATTTGCACCATTGTTTGGAAAATGATATTAAATGTTTCTGTGGGAACATTGATTTTAACGAGTGATTTTAAGTCATCCCACTTGGTGGTTCCTCGTTGCAGGAAGATCACAGTAGAGAATCCTTTTGCGGCGCGTGTGTAGGCAGAAAACAGGCCTACCGCTCTCGGCCTTAAGGTGTGCTCCTGCGGCCAGGAGATGCCGCCTGCCCTGCAGGAGGGAAGCTCCGAGTCCCAGCTCCTTTCCTCCTCGGAAGTGCGCTCCGAGGCCAGAGCCACGAGATCTTTCCGACCTCAGAGCCGGTGCTGGGTGGAGCGTACAGAGGGGTGGGGAGGGATCTCTTGGGATCATCTGGGGGATGCTCTCTTCCTAAACATTAGCTGGCCAAGATTTTTGTGGGGTGGGAGAGCATCAGAGGTGATCTTCCCTTCTGTGCACCCCCGTCCTTGACAGGATAATCCTTGACATAATCCTAAGATATTAGCTGGCGGCAGACGCCCCCTTCAGATTGCACCCAAATGAGTCCTCGATTCCATGAGTGTAGATAGCTGAACATTCTGGGTGACCCCAAGAAGCGTCCCTCCCCCAAATTCCCCCAAGAGTGGGGGACTTCCCATCTGACTCTCTCTTGAGCTCCGTGAAGGATCGAGAGCGTAAGCTCACTTACGTCTGTTGCACCGGCAGACTGATCCCTTTTGAGCCTTATTCGGGGTGGTGGTTCTGACCCATAAAGCCCCAAACCAACTCAGACCAGGACTTGAGATCTTCCACAGAGGATCCACTAATAGGCACAGTTAAGCTGAGATGGTCTTTTTGGGGGTGGCTCTAAGAAAGGGACGCATAACTGATGCATTCAGCCTGGAAGATATTTATGGTTCAGTTTCCTTTGATGTGGGGTTGATTTAATGTGGTCACTTTGGGGAGTAGTTTGGACTGGTGGGTAGGGTGATGTCTGCTTATTTTTTGCTGCTTTTTTAGCTTTTAGGGATATGGATCATTTTAATACTGTTTTTGGTTTATAATTGTACATTTTATTGCCTCTTCATTTCTCGTTTCCTGGTTGAAGAAGTGCATTGAGAGGACTGTTTGGTTCCAAGTAGTGGTATAAAAAATTGTTTAAAAAAGAAGGTTTAGAATCAGTATTAAGATTTCTCCTGACAGCAAAAATGATACTGTCCTTTTGTTAAGATCTCCATGTTCTTAAGAGAAGTGGGTTTGTAAAATGTAAATGGTTTTACGGATTTGGCTGTTTTGTTGAGATTGACACCTTGTGGCTGCATGAGGTTGTATTATCTGCAACCTTGGTTCTCATTTGCCACAGCTGGAATCATGCTGCTGCTTTTTGCTCAAAGGGGCGTACTTCTAATGTGCTTATCTGTTTATTTTATTATACTTACATCCCTCCTGTTTCCTCTTACATAATTGCATAATCCTCCTGCACCACTCCATTTTATCCTCACAGCAACAACCCTGTGAGGTAGGTCAGGCTGAAAGCCCGTGAGTGGCCCAAAGTCACCCCGTGAGCCTCATGGCTGAGAAGGGAGGAGACCCCGATTTCCTGAGGCCCAGGCCAACACCCTACTTCGTATGACCCCCAGGTATCCGGCCCTTTCTTCCTTGAGCGGCACTATAAATATACGTCATTCCAGGCAGCCTGCGCTTTTGTCCTGTGCATTCGGCAGTGCGTCCCCGAACTCCTGCCCTGCCCGTCACAGCTTTTCTGCCTGCCGTACTGCTGCAGTTTCATGAGTATCCCCGTGTGCAGACGGCACCTTGCCATACCCAAGTGAGAAGGGGGCTCTGGATAGCCACCTCCTGCAGGGGGAGGTTCCAGGCTACCCCGTCTCTGCTTAGAAGGTCGAGACCGTCGGTTCACGGCACGCCCAGGCTAACCGAGCTGCGAGTTGTGGGGTATATTTCCGCCTAAACATGCATGGGAATTTTTGTTGTCATCAGGTTAGCTCCGACTTAGGCAACCTTGTGAAAAATGCCTCCAGAACTCCCTGTCCTTAGCAGCCCTGCTCAGTTCAGAGACGATTATCAAGTAATACACAGGAAAACATGCTCAACTTCAGCTCCTCGGATCCATTTCTGAAACGGCCTTGCTTTTGGTACAGAACCTGTGAGTGAGAAAGCTTCTGTAGGCATGGCTTCGGGTGTGAGCGCATGGCCCTGTGCAAAGATGGCAGAATTTATTTACTTTTTGAATTAATTGAATTATTTTTAGGTTGCATTTAAGGATGGAACCGTCGCATTCACCTGATTTTAAAATGTGGCTAATGCTTCCCTGAGGCTGCAGAGGGAGATGTGTTGAGCGCTGGGCAACCCGCCATCCAGGGCAGATTACCTCTAATTGCTAATCTTTTCATTGAAGGAGCACCCGATAAAACAGCCGAGTTTGAGAATGTTGCCGCTTTCAGTGCGGGAAGCCGTGCCGCTGCTCTGCATGTGCTGCTGAAGCCGGTCGGCAGGGCAAGGGTCTAATATCGCCCGAACCAGCGTTGAGGTCGAAGTCGTTTGGCTTCAAGATCCCTGCTCAGGATTGCATTGAAATGTCGTGGAAACCCTTCTGCATAGTGAAATCTTATGAATCGTTCAGAGTGCGACAGCCCAAATGCAGTCGAGTCCGCCAGCATGGCCAGAATCCTTACTTAACAGTGATAGAATTGTTCTGGGGAGGTAGAATCAGCTACTTAGTATATATTTTATTATTATTACTTCTGAGACAATTTGCATTGAAAGAAAAAAAGTGCAGCTAAGCTGCTCAGACTCTGTTGGGTGTTCCCAGGCAGTAGGATAATTTCAAAACTCGGGTACTGTCTCTCTGATCCTTAAAGCGGTTTTGTAACCCTCATATTATGTTTGAGTGCTTGTCAAGTGCATTTTCTGGTGGTCTGTCCGTCCGCCTGTCCATCCTTATTTATTTCTTTAATTTGTATCCTGCTTTTTCTTACAAAGAACTCAAAGCGGCTTAGATCACTCTCCTCCTGCTGCTCTCAGCCTTATTCCCACAACAACAGCCCTGTGAGGTAGGTTGCACTGAGAGTCTGTGCCTGGCCCAGAGTCAGTCAGTTGGCTCCCAGCTGGCTGTGCGGGGACTAGAGCCCAGATTGCCTGAGTCCCAGTCCTGCACGCTTAACCACTGCGCTGCTTCTAGCAGCAGCTAAACTGGAGTTGGTCCAGCCCCATTGGCAAAGGGATAGAAAGCCATTTTCCAGGCTCAGGTCTCTAGTTCAGCCCCAAGGAAGGAAGCTGAGGTGCAGGCTGCTTCTGGGTCCCTGGGTCCTTGGGGGCCCACATGTTCTTTGCTTTGTGCCTGTTCCCTCCCTGGTACACCGATGCAGCGCCGACCCCGCGGATCTCTCCGTCCTGCAGCGCCGCGCATTTTGTGCAGGAGGGCCGAAACGCGAGCCTCGCTCCCCTTCCCGCCCTGCCTGTGCAGAGCTTGGCTCCGCGTGGTGGCGGCCTCAGCGGCCCTTCCTCACCCCCCCCCCGGCACGAGCTCCATCAATCCGCCCTCCTCGCCCGGGTCCCGCTCGCAGGACCTGCCACAGCGGGAGGGCAGAGTGCGTGCTGCCGGCAGGGCTGCTGGCCCCATGGGGCGCCCGGTGGAGGCGGCCCTGCGGGCGCCCACGGAGGCCCAGATCCCGTGTCCCCGAGCGCCGCTCCCCAGCCTGCTCTCGGTCAGCGCGTCCCCTTCCGTGCATGACGGGTGGCCGCCATTTCTGTGTGAAACACGTCTTATTTCTTTCTTGCAGCCGGGCGAGACAGAGCGGGCCTCCCAGGCAAAGCCGTCCCGCCAGGGCCCTAGCTTGTATTAGCAGCACTTGGGTAGGAGCTGGCGAAGGCCCGCGCGCCCCCCAGCCGTGGGGACTGGTGCCCGCCCCCGCCTGCCCCCGCGGGGGACCGTCTGCCACCCGCCAGCCTGGAGCATCGTCTTCACGCCCCCTCGGGCAGCTGCGGCCACCGGGCTTCCGAGGCCCGCCTGTGAGTACCAAACCGTGGCACCGCTAACACCTTACCTTTCGCAGGGCCGCAGCGCGGAGCTTGGGCGGACCCCGCCAGGTGTACGAACTCGCGTGGGGCCTTGCGGGACTGGACCGCTAGCCGCCTGCTCCGCATGGCTAGCCAGACCGGATGCTTAGAAGAGCCGCCATGCTGGTCCGTTCCCGCATCCGGCTCTCACAGTGGCCCACAAGCAGGACCTGGGTCCATCGGCTCCCCGCTGCCCAAGTCCCGGCAGCCGGTGTACAGAGACGCACGGCCGCAGTCCCGAAGCAGCGACGGCCTCCCTTGCACCAAGTTGCCTAGCCCCCTTTTAGAGCCGTCCAAAATGGTGGGCGGCCCAGCATGCTCTGCCAGCGATGTGCCCCTCCCTAAGTGATTGCCCGCGTGGGATGAGAGTGGCGGCCTCCCCGCCGCGAGCAGAGATATCCTGCGTCCGCCTGTGGAGGCTCAGCCGAGGCTGCAAATTGTGGAAGTGCCTTTTCCCGCAGCTGTAGCATGCCGCATGGACGTTCCCCCCGGTATTCCCTATTTCTTTTTGTCTTTTGCAGCAAAGTTTACCTGGGAGAGATTGAGGGGTGGGTGCCCTTAGGGGTTGCCCTTGCTCCTTAGTTCCCCATCCATCCCGAATCTGACATTTCCTTCCCAGATTGTGTGCATGCGCCCACCTGGCGTCCCAGATCAGCCCCCCAGGACGCTACAGAGGGCCACCTCCCCTGCCACAGCCCAGCCCTCTTTCCCTTGCTGCTGAGGGACCGCTGGCTCCCCGGCCTTGGTGCATTTCGGACTCGCTTTTCTCAAGGCTGACCTAGCGGCAGCGACAGTGTGATGGCCTTTCTCGTCCTTGTTGCCCCACCTGCCCCAGAAAATGGCTCCCCAGAAATAGACTTTGGACCACTGGCTGACAGAAGGACTCCCCCCTGATGTCGCAAGGGTGTGCTTCCCCCACATCCGCCAGCCCCTCACCCTGCGTTCTCTCGCGCCTGCCTCCTCTCCCCCCCACGTGCTCTGCATTCATGCCCACCCTGCGGGATCAGTGAAGGGGTGCTCCCCTTGTGCCAGAGGCCATGGGGTGAGCAGAAGGAAAGGCAAAAACGGCCTCCTGGCATTTCAGCAGGGCCCCATCCTCAGGAATTACGAGATGTGTGGAGAAGCATGACCCCTTCCGCTCCAGGACCTGTTTGGGGTTCCCCATCCATCCCGCCTCGCCCAAACTGGCCAGTCACAGCTGTGGCACAGATTGTCAACGTTTCCTTTATCCCATCTTTCTCATAGGTTAGAATGTGTGTGGCTATTCCATGGCAATGGGTCCATTCCCACGACTGAGTAGTCCCATCTGGCTTATGGAAGCCACAGTGGGCCATGACCCGGGGAGGGGGCTGTTTTGGATGTTCAGGTCGCGATCGTGGCTTGCCGTTCCATCCAAACCCAGTGAGGAGATTTTGTTGGCGTGGTTTGCTCCGAAACAGCCTGTGGGTTTTGGGAGATTCTTGGCGCATGTTGAGAGCTCGTTTCAGAAGAAATGACAAGCTGCAGCACTGGCTGGGATATGCCAAAGATGCCTGGAAGGCTGGCAGCAGCCCGTGGCTTACCCAGGGAAGCCACCCTGGGCCACGGTGATCGTGCCGACTGGGGCTCTGGCTGCAAGGGGCATTGCGAGCAGGGTGGAAGGCCTCTCCCACGATGCCAAGACTTCATCCACGGCTGCGTCCGGTGCCAGTTCCCTGCAGCCGTCGGCTGAGCTGCTCTGGCTGCCCCAAGAAGCTCTGGTCAGCTCAGTGCAAACCGCGACTCGGGAGAGCACTGAGCATCTGAACACAAAGGTTCGGGTTCTTTGTGTATCAGAGAAATCCGAATCGTTCTACCCTCTCATATTGCAGAGTTTGTGTGGGGGGAGCGGTGATGGTCTCTTGAGCAGAGGCTGCCTGGTGCATCATGCTCAGATCCATGGACCTTGGGAAGCTGCGCCTGCTAAGCCAGTCCTTTCCCCCAGTCTTGACACTGACTAACAGCAGCGGCTCTGCGGGGTTTCCAGAAGATTCCTCTCTGTCCCTGCCAGGAACGATGGGCTCCGGCCTGGAGCTCCTCGGCATGCGGAGTCCGCACCCGGCTGCAGCCCCTCAGGCCACATGGTAAAGCACCCCGTTCTCTGCGTTCGTGGGGCGTGACCAGCTGGCTGCCTGAGCCATCCGGCTTTGGTTGCAGATTGGTCTTCCGGGTTTCTGCTGCCAGAGTCGTAGAGATGGGGCAGAATTCCTGGCTGTGGATGAGGAAGAGGCAAGATGCTCTGGTAACTTCCTGGTTGGGTTATTGTAATGTGTTTTACATGGGGCCGCCCTTGAAGATGGTCTGGATACTTCAGTTGGTTCAGAATAGAGCTGCTGGTTAACAGGGACCGGCAGGTGCTCACATATAACGCCGGTCCTCCTTCGGTTACACTGGCGGCCAGTTGAAGTCCAGGCCAATTTAAAGTCCTGGTGATGACCTATGAAGCCCTAAACGGCTTGGGTCCGGGATACCTGAAGGAGCGCCTTCTCCCCTATGTGCCCTCCTGCCTCTTGAGATCTGAGGTGGAGGCCCTGCTCTGGGAGCCCTCCTTGAAGGAGATCAGGAGGGCGGCTACCCAGAGCAGGGCCTTCTCTGCAGTGGTGCCCCATCTATGGAATACGATCCCCAGAGTGGTCTGCCTGGTGCTGACACTTTAATCCTTTTGGCACCAGGCTAAAACTTTTTTATTTTCCCATTATTTTAATGTCGAATAGGCTTTAACGTGGGTTTTATTATATTGAGGTGTTGGATGCTGTGCTTCATTTTATTTGTTGCTTTTATTGTGAAACCAGCCCGAGATGCCAGTAGTTGGACGGGTTATAAAAGCCTTCAATAAACAAATAAATAAAAAAGTGGGCAGGAACTCATACAGAGATGCAGCAGGCCGACTCCTCTCTGGGTGGGTACATTAAACTCCCAGGAGTGTAAATGATCCCACAGTGTATGGTGTGACTCACTAGGAATTCCTGTTGCAGTTCGCAAGTAATGCTTCCGTTTCACCTCCAAGGCCTTGGATGGGACGAGAGTTGCCTGGCCTGTGGGAAGCAGGTGGGGTTCGCAGGTTCGGCCTGGACTCCCTTGTCCGGCCGTGCTCAGTGCCTGCGGGCGCCTCCTGAGTGTTTGGGTCTCTCTTCTCGTGCTTTCCTCCCCTGCCCGGAGGGTCATGGTTGATTTAGCTGTTGCCTGCCCGGTGACCAGAAAGTGAACTGTTCTGCTTGTGTGAGCGACTTTCCATGGGGATATCTGGAAGCGGGTACTGAATTTGAGGACGTAAGAAGTGCTGCGCTGGGTCAGACCGGGTCCCACCTCCTCCAGCTTTCTGTTCACAGCCACCAGCAGCGCCCTCCTGCCATGTTCCACAGCATTCTGCTCCTTTCCTGGACAGCAGGACTGGTAGCCATTGGAGCGCTGTATAGCCACGGCTGGGAGGGAGGGATGTCTCCCTCTCCGCTCTCACCCCATTTTGTACTCCTGTTCTGGCCTCCCATCACTCAGCTTTTCCTGACACCAGGCAGTTCCAGAAGCTGTCACCCCCTTTCCTCAGGGAGTGCCTTCGGCCAATTGATCCTTTGGGCAGTGCGATCGGATGGCTCTGATTCTGCAGTGCCAGTGTTGCTGTTGACTTGAGAACTTTGTCCAAGCATCTGCAAGAGCTGACTTCATCAGCTCTTCATCGCAGCCTTCCTTGGCAGCTGCCAGAGTTTCACTGGGGGGGGGGGCAGTGGGGGGAGGACTCCTTCCTGAGATTCCTGATCTGTGGGTCCACAAGGGGCTGCATCTCCAGTACGGTCCACAGTCTTCTCATGCAGCTGCTGCCATGCTGGCTTCCTCTACTGACCTTTCTCTGATCCGTGACTGCAGCCTTGCAAAAATTATTCTCACCCCAGCACACCGCCCCCCCCATTTTTATTAACTTGGTGCCATCCTCACATCCTTTTTGTGGCATGTTCTGAAAGTACTGAAAGGGGCAAGGAAGGATATGCACATGACTTTTCAACCTTTATAAATGTTCTCAGCGTTGTTCACCTAGAAACTCTTTTTGCTCGCCATAGGCGAGGACTTGTTTGCATGTTGGTGTGATGATGGTGTGGCCTTTGCCTGCCGCCACAGCTGGTGACCAGTCTAGCGAATCCCAGTCAGGGCTGTCTCCGAGTTTCGGGGGCCACTTGGCCTGAAGCCCTGAGTGGGTCTGCGTAGGGGCCCTGTGTAGGGTCCGATCTCAGTGGGCCCTGTATCCGTCTCTCTCGGGGAGGGGCGGGGCTCAGGCATGCCAGCTAGCGCCCCTGTGAGGGATTGGGAACTGCCTTTTCCATTCCCCACAAGGCCCCAGAGCAGTCCTCGGTTTCTCTAACTAGCAAATGGGGCCAGCTGTCCGCAGGTTGGAGTGGCCCTTCGTCTTACACAGCAAAGATACGAGTCAGCGAAGTTCTGCTCAGCTCATAGGGGCGCAGCTGTGCCTACTGGCACCGTAGGAATGGCCCCTGCATGAGTGCACCCCTGCAGCCCCCTGGGGAAGGGCTCCATCTTGAAGGGAAGTTGCCCGAGGGTAGAGGGGCAGGCATAGCCCCTCCTCCAGCCCACTGGCTTCCCCTGCCTTCCTCCCGTAGTCACTTCCAAACTGGTTAGGAATGTCTGCCACCTAGTGGCTGGAGATAATACTTCAGTCTTCAGCCCCAAAGACTTATTTGCATGAACTAAAATGAGTGCATTTTGAAAAATCCAAATTGCCCTGAAGGTGCTCATCACTCGGGTCTCATTAGTATGCCCGCCAGATTTCATGGTCCTGGTGTGGACAGACATGCACGCACGAACCATCTTCGTGGTTACGGGAGGCAGGCTGGCATCATCAAAAATCAAAGGGGATCCAAGGAAGGGGTGGTGGCAGGCCCGCCCAGGCCACTAGTGCCCATGCGCACCAGAAGCTGCCGCACAGCCTCTTGATGGTGTTCAGTAGAGAAAGATTCATCCTGATCTGATTCCATAGCCCTGGCTCAAAGTTTGGGCATGGATCGAGTGTGGCTTTCCACTGAACTGTGCGAGATTGTGCTGTCTAAAACGGGGTGGGAATAACAAACCACAATGGACAACCCATACTTCACAACCCAAGCACCATGTTCTTTTCATGGGTTTTTTGTGGTTAGCAAGCCATGGTTTGTTGGCTTGCAGCTGAGTTCAGACAACAGGGTAATTTGCATTTCAACAACAACCCGTGGTTCAGCAACAATGCACACCAAACCCTGGATTTGCATTAGGTTGTTGCCCAAACCCAGTCATCAGGCGTCCGGGTGCCTCGCTGCCTCCATTATGGCTGTGAAGGCCTTCGATGAAAAGTGTCCCAGAGGAAGGATTTGGAAGGGACTTCCTCTCTTGCTAAGAATGCACCAAAAGGCCTCTGTGTTTTTTTCTTTTGGCTTTATTTTGACCAGTTCCCTTTAATCATCTTTGCTCGGTCTAAATTTGCCTTTTCCAGATGGTTGGGCTACAAGTCCCAAAATTCTTCCACCAGCAGAAAAACTGGATGCTTCTAACAAAATACTTGGATGCATGATATTAATGGAGAAAGACGTTTTAACTGAGCTGGGACATGGTGTTAGTATGATTAAATTTGTGGAATGGGAGAAAGTACCACCTATGCCAAGTTTGTAATATTTCTGCAGTATTTGGTTCAAGAGACAGCAACATCAGTCGGTGTTTTCTATTTTATTTGTGGTTGCATTTGCAAATAGCACATTCGCAGATAATATTTTAAGCATGATTTCCAAACGAGAAGTTGGGAGAAGGTGGGCTGTGTGTATTTCTGGGGTGTTGCAATTGCAGGGGCAGAATCTGGTCGGCTGGGTGCAGAATTCAAGTCCAGTAATATGAGATCTCCTTTTTATTGATAATAATGAATAATAGTGGTGGTAATAATAATGCAAAACCCTTACGCTGCTAAGACAAACTTGAAAGAGTAAGCATGATTTCTGCTGAAATCTCAGAATGAGTCGTATTTTCAGATGGCCGAGAAGTTCAGAACCGTATCAGAATGTGCAGAAACAAGGTAAAATGGCATAAAATAAGTAAGTGTAGGCCATAGTGACCCAGGGATTTGGAATTTTATAGTGTGTAGTGACCGAGGGATTTGGAATTTTACTTTCTTTGTGCAGAATATTTCATGGAGGCAGTTCTGCCTGTTCTCCAAAGGATGGAGGAGACCCAGTCTTGTCCCTGAATTTAGGCAGGAGTGTTGCCTGTATTTCGGGGTGAATCTGGGCCTTCACTAGGAACTCTACTAGATCCGCACCCGCTGAGAGCAGAGAGCCGGGTGGGCACCCAGCGGTTTTCCATGTTGTAAGTTCATTGATGCATTTGCAAAGATGAGATAAGGCAGGCTTGGGTAGTTTAAAAGCTGCAATTTACATTTCTTGGGTAATTCTCCCTGGCAAGCATGTGAAAAATGCATGTATTTTGGTTGAATACTTGCACTGATAGGGAATGAACATGAAATGGAAGGCGCCCTCACGACCTAGAGGAAGCGAGTTGAAGTGCAGGAGTGTTATTCTCGTGCAGCGTCCTTTCAGTTCCGACGATTAATGTGGTTCGACCATTTTCAGGACCCTAATTCCCTCTCCCCCACCCCAATTTGAACAATGTGAGGGAATTACACTCAGGAAAACCTTTACATTTTGATAAGTACTCACATCACAGTGTGTAGTTTAATTCCCACCCCCAAAATATTTCAGGACAAATACTTGGGACAGAAACATTAAATCATATGGGGATCCTGTTTGTTTTGCTTATGAAAGAAAAGAGCTTTGTTGCATTGGATTCCTCTCTTGGACAACCTGGTGCCTTCCAGATATTTCGGAATTCCATTCCCAGCCAGCACGGAAGACTTACAGTTGTGGTCCAAACATCTGGAGGCTGCTTGGAAGGCAAAATCGACTCTTCAGTCCATTCAAATTAAATTCAGCACTGGATTGCATTGGAAACTTGTGGTTCCTACTGCAGCCAAGCAGCTGCCCCAGTGGGAAGCCTGGAAACTCAGATGCACCTGGCACGCACACACTGCATTCTTCCCTGGATACAGGAGGTCCTGTGGATCCATCCTGCCTAGCTTTGTGGACCGTGCTTAACCTCCGCTATTTTCCTTGTGCCCTTGGGGGCCACTTGCTGGGGGCCTCGGGCCTCCATGGCTCTTCTCGGCCTTTTGGAAGCGGTGTCAAAAAGCTGTGGAGTGTTTCCCTTCACCCAGGCGCGCGGATCCTCCTCAAGCCTGAGGCCCAGATCCATGTTGGAGAAATTGCCAGGCCCAGTCGCGGGGCCGAAGGCAGGAGTAAAGACGCCAAAGAGCAGTGCATTTTCACTGCATTCTCCTTTCTGCCAGGAATGGAGTACTTTGTGGAATGGGGAGGACGGTGGCAAGGACACCCGGAAGCCACCGGAAGATCAGTGGCTAGGGAGAGGCGGCGTGGCTTTCTTGGGTGCCATTCAAGCCTGGATTTGGCCACCTGGTGGCACAAATTTAGCCCTTGCGCCGGGGACTTGGGGCACCTGCAGTCTGACCTCTGCTGCTCTGAGGCTCTCCAGAAAGCCGTATGTCGGGGCCTCCTTCCTTATTCTTGAGGTCTTGTTTGAGGGCTTCATGAAAAAGGCATTTGTCTCATCAACCAATTAACATGAATGGTGTGGAGGAATTAGATAAATGCCCATTTAAGCCATCCGGGGTCTAAATGGACCCAGCAGAGTGAAAACACTCATTTAATGCTAGCTAGTTTTAATGTTGTAATGGCTGAGACAAGGAGCCAGATGTCTCGCTTCTGGTGTCGTGTACTTTTAGCACCCCGCAGGGGTTTGGCTTTGGGGGGGACGGACAGATGAGCGAGGCCCTGTTTGTTGCGACCGGGGTCTTTGTTGCCTTAATATGATGTCGCGTATTCCACATGAAATTGAAGGTGTGCTTAAATACTTCTTGCTGTATCTTGGCTTTTAAAACTGTGTCTTAACTGTGCGATTGCAGCTGGGTGTTACGCTTCCCGGTAATGGAGGCTTTGAAGAGTTAAGAACAGCTTCGGTAAAAGGGACAGTGCTGAGTAGTTGGGGTGTTGGACTGGGAAAACCCGGCTCTAGTCCCCCCTCAGCCTGAAGCTCCCTTGTCACTGACCCTCACCCTGTCCAACCTCACAGGGCTGTTGTGAGGAGAGAAGGGAGAGGAGGAGGCGATTCTGAAGCTTCCTTGGAATAGCTGGACAGGATATAAGCATGTAATCGCACTGCTTCTTACCTTCCTTGGATTCTTTCCCTATTTGGCCCTGTCTTGTCTGGAATATGCTTAGTGTGGGGGTGGAGAACAGAATGGTTTTATGGGTTTCCAAGAAGCTTGGGTGCTATTCTGACCCATAACCACCTCTTCTTTTGCTTTTTCCTCAGGATGGCGGAACCGCGCTTTAACAACCCCTATTTCTGGCCACCCCCTCCCACCATGCCCAGCCAGGTAAAGTCCCTTCAGTTTGCAGCAGTCTCTTCAACCCTTGCAGATAACTTTCCAGTCTACTGATAGACAGAACCAAAAAGCAAAATACACCCTGTGGAAAGGTATCATATAGTGAAGATGACCCTGGGTCCTTTTTGGTCTATTTAAGGTTTTTATGTGATGTTTTATTATGTGGTTGCATTCTATGGTTTTGTCTTGTGAGCTGCTCAGAGTGTTTGAGTAATTCAGCAGTTTAAAAATATAAGGAATTAATTAAGGCACTATCCTGTTCATGCTAGGCAGACAAAAGGGCATGCCAAGGAGTTTCAGACCTTCTTTTCTGGCTAAGCCTGCAGGTTGTACCTTAAATCATGAAAAATAAAATAGCTCCGAATCTTACTGTATCCAGCTTCCAAAGATCCTTACCAGGATTTGCTGAGAACGGAACCAGAGACCACCTGCACCTGCCTTCTCACTGAGCTAATGCCCTTTCCCTACAAATAAAGCAAGATTCCAGTCCTCATGGTTTTGAACCAAGGGTTGAATTACATAGGAACATATCCTTCTTGGAAGCCGTCCACTCTAAGCCTGGAGTCGAGGCAGAGATCCTCTACTTTGCATGCAGAAGGTGCCCAGTTTGACCCAAGGTGGGGCAGAAAAAAACACGCCTGAAACCCTGGAGAACGCTTGCTGCCAGTCAGTGCCTGCAACACTGAGCGAAGTGGACCAAGCCTCTGCCTCGCTATGTGGCCACTTCCTAAGATCCCCACGGTTCATGCTGGAAACCGAGAGCATGGCAACGCTCAGGCTCAGGGTAGGCGATGGGCCTCCTCCTCTGTTGATTGCAAAATGTCTGTTCTCTCTCCGCCAGCTGGACAACTTGGTTCTAATCAACAAAATCAAGGAGCAGCTCATGGCAGAGAAGATCCGACCGCCACACTTGCCCCCGACCTCCGTGGCGTCCCAGCAGCCTCTCCTGGTGCCCCCCTCGCCTGCCGAGAACAGCCAGTCCATCATGTCCATTCCCAAGCTTCAGCAAGTCCCCGGGCTGCACCCCCAGGCCGTCCCCCAGCCCGACGTGGCCCTGCACGCACGCCCGGCCACCAGCACCGTCACGGGTAAGCCGCGAGCACAGGGGCCCGTGCTGGCGCTTCGGTGGGGCATGAGAGCCGGCAGCTTGGTTTCTGTGCTGCGCCACCCTTTTCCCCCTTCGGGGCTTCTCTGAAGGTGGTGGCAGATTTTGAGATACTCTCCCAGCCCCACTGCAAGCGGAGAATTCTCCATGCAGCATGCCCCTAACCCACAGCACAGCACGGGGCACTCCAGAGTCCTGCATCAGAACAATCCGTGTGAAAGGTCTCCTGGAGAGTAGAAAATTAGAGGAACAGTGACACCGCTGGGGGGGGGGAGTTGTGTGAGCCCCCCCCCACCACATGTGCTGTTGCAAACTTCCCAGGGAAGTCCAGCTTGGGTGGTAGGGAAATGAAATAAGCAAATATCAGTACAGGCTGGTCACAGCAGGCGATTTATTATTATTTATTGATTTAAAATATATGCCATCCTAATTCTCAAAAAGCCTCAGGACGGCTTACAACATAAAATAAGATATAAATAAAATCCCCGGCCCACACTGGCTACAATTAGAAACATAGAAAAAACCAATATTAAAACTTATTAAAATATCACTGGAATAAAAAGATCTTGGCCTGGTGCCGAAAAACAAATAGCGACGGCGCCAGGCGGACCTCTCTGGGAAGCACATTCCATAGATTGGGCGCCACCGCAGAGAAAGCCCTCCTCCGGGTACTATGCCTCCTAATATCTTTCACGGAGGGATTTGGGCTGCGAGGCATGGGTCGCTTGGCCCACCCATTCCCAGAAGTTTCTCCAAAATGGAATCTGGTCCTCAGGCATTCAGCATCCCTGGAATGCAGAGCCACAGTGCTCCTCCGGCACCAAGATTGTTGGCTGAAATCAGCTCGGTGCCCTTTGCAGATGCTGTGCTCCAGGTCCGGTGCCGGCCTCTACCTCTGGGGGCGACCCAGTGGGGGGCCAAAGGGAGAAGCACCTTCTCGGTGGTGGCCCCCAGTCGTGGGACAAGCTCTCTACTGAGGCCTGGCCTGCTGGCACCAGGTTAAGTGTGCCCTCTGTGGTGGGGGTTTTCATCAGCTTTAATTCCCTTTACTTTTTAGTATTACACTAACTTATTTAATATATGTTGCCAACTGCTTGACATGCCTTGTGATTTAATTTGAATCAGCTGTTGTAGCCTTGTAAAATTAGTTTTAAATTTGGGTTTGTACGGTATTTTTATGCTGCTTTGTCGATATCTGCATTATATATAATGTTTTTATAGTGCTCTAAGCCACCCAGAGAGGGACTGCAGGTGGCGCAGTGGTTTAAACCGCTGTGCTGCTGGGCTGGTTGATCAAAAGGTCGCCGGTTCAAATGTGCACAATGGGGTGAGTCCCCGTTGCTCCGTCCCAGCTCCTGCCAACCTTGCAGTCCGAAAGCATGCAAATGCAAGTAGATAAAAAGGTACCACTTCGGTGGGCAGGTAACAGCGTTCCGTGCACTTCAGCATTTAGTCATGCTGGCCACACGACCACGGAGACTGTCTGCGGACAAACGCTGGCTCCCTCAGCCAGGAAATGAAGATGAGCCCCGCCCCTAGAGTCAGGCATGACTGGACGTAACGGCAAGGGGAAACCTTTACCTTTTTAAGCCACCCAGAGAGCTTTGACTGTTGGGTGGGAGAGAAATGCAGTTTTTGATGCTGATGATTTAAGGCCCCGGTGTCATTAGATTTGTTTTGCCAGAGGGCAAGTGGGGGATGCAGTGTCTGACAACCCTGCAGTATAGTCCACTTTGGAATTCTGAGGCTCATGGGCACTCTCACAAAATGGCTGCCCCACGGCCTGCGTCCTGAAGTTGGCGTTTGTCTCCTCCTGTGCCTTGCAGGTCTGGGGCTGGGCTCCCGGGCCCCAGCTGTCAGTACCTCAGAATCCAGCGCTGGGACGGGAACCAGCACCCCCTCCACGCCCACCTCCACCAGCCAGAGCCGCCTCATCGCCTCCTCGCCCACCCTTATCTCAGGAATCACCAGCCCCCCGCTGCTGGAATCCATCAAGACCATCCAGGGGCACAGCTTGCTGGGGGCGCCCAAGGCGGAGCGTGGCCGCAAGAAGATCAAGGCGGAGAACCCATCGGGTCCGCCTGTCCTCGTGGTGCCCTACCCCATCTTGGCCTCAGGAGATATTGGCAAGGAGGGCAAAACGTACAGGTGCGTCCGGGAGGGCGGGCGGGCGGGCAGGTGGGCAGGATAGGGGAATGCTGGGAGCTTTGCATGTCTGGAGCGGGCAGGGAAGACAGCTACACCTGGTCCGGCGAGGCTCCGAGTTCAGGTTCATAGTACCCAGCTATGAAGCCCTTGGCAGGAGAGCGGGCAGTGCATCAGGCAAGCCCACCCCACAGGGGGGCTGTGAGGATAAAATGGAGGAGGCAGGCCCATGAATCCCCCGTGGTGTCTTGGGGGGAAGATGGGATACGCACGCAGTATGCAACGATGCAGTCACAAACGGCATCTAGAAAACAGCGCACAGAAGCCCAGCGCTCGACTAGGCTCCTCCTCTCCGAGATGCCACCTGGCCTCAGGCTGGAACTCCTTCCACACCTCATTTTCAAGCGCGTGCCGTTTTTGGCATAGGAGGACTTTCAGCCCGCAGGTGGCCTTGCCGGTATTTTGGAGCAGCCTGGTCCAGCCCATGCTGCGCTCTGGGTTATTTCCTGATACCATCCTTTCGGTCTTGGCTTCACTTCTTTTCCCGTGTTGGCCGCTTCTGTTTCTCGTGGAACAAAACCTTTGAAGCCTGCTAGCAGAATTCAGGAGACCCACGTCTTATGCCTGGCAGCTAATGCTGAACATGCAGGCTGTCTCCCCTTCATGCACCGTCGCAGCATCAAAACTTGCTTGCTGGAGTCACAGGGAGAGCCTCATTAGCGCAGTATATTGTCTCCAGCAACATCCAGCCCGGTTGGCCGGGGTGGGAAAGTCCCAGAGAGACACCTTCTCCAACCAGAGATCCTCCAGAAGTTTGGGACTCCGGTTCCCATCACCCCTGCCCGCTGACTGTGCTGGCTGGCGCTGATGGGAGCTGAAATTCTAAAGACCTGCTGGGAACTCTGCTGGCCGGTGCGTTGAGTGGGGATAAAGCCAGGTTGCTTCCCTGTGACTGCCGTTCTTCAGAGTCACAGGGAAGAACGTGTCACGCGCAGAGACTGTGAAGAAGAGCGAGGCCTCCGTGGGTGCAGAGCGGGGTGCAGAAGGGCGGGCTGGGGAGCCACGGCCGGCCCGTGTGAAGCTGTGGGAGAGCTCTCAATGTCCTGCTGTTCCCACTGATCCCTGGTGCTTCATTGGCCTTCGTGTAGTCCCCCCCCCCCCACTCTAAGAACTTGGGATGCCACTCCTAGAAGGCGTTGGGGTGGGCAGCTGGATCCCATAACCTGCTGTGTTCAGCGCCTCGTCCATTCCCCAGGACAAACACAGGGGCGCTGCTGAGCCGCCGTGGCCGAGTCCGCTGCTCACTCCGTCCTGGGCTGCTTCCAGCCCTGTTTCCTTGATGATGTGATGGCAGACTTTTCGGAGGAGGCTGTGCTCCCTGCCGCCATGATGCGGCCCCCGCCTCTCGCTCTTGCCCAGAACAAAACCGGTTCGAGAGGGAGAGCCGGAGGCGCGGTGCCGTTCCACTGGATGGGTGCTGCTGGGACCCAGAGGTGCTCCGAGTGTTCCAGGCCAACCCTGCCGGCCTTTCTCACCTTGCCCCTTGGCATCGCATGCTCTGCCGCATGGCCCCACTCAAGGACATGAACCTGTGCGTGTTGACACAGGGGCTTCCCATCTAAAAACAGGAATCCTACCCGGTGTCTTCTTTTTCCCCTCCTTCAACTCAAAAGACCCAAGCACACCGGCTTCTCCTCTGACATGGGAAAGTGCCAGGCCTTTGGCCCATCGAATTCGGGGTTTCTGCCTTCCTTTAACATTCTTTAGCCTCTGGGCCTGCTGCACTCAGAAAAAGGCAAGAGGTGGCAAGGATAAATAAAATTATGCCTCAAGGGGAAAGTGACGCAGGACCCCAGTGGGCCCAGAGGCTGTGCTGTCTGTATGTCCGTGCACACGGGTTGCTGGGGAACATGGGTGGGAGGGCCCTGTAGGACTCGCAGTTTGCCTTTGGGGTTCCTACACAAGGCCTTGGCCTGACCTTGCAGGGCTGTTGCCTGGCGGGGCCTCTCTCGGCTTCCCAACAAGGGTCTTCCCCAGCCAGACATTCAACCCGGGACCGTGTGCATATCGTCTCCCCTGCACTCTTCCCCTTCACCTGCCAGGCAACCACGGTTCCAGTCCTCATGGTTCTGACTGCAGGGCTGCGTGGTGATGCGCATGTTGCCTATTTCAGGCAGGAGTCTTGCTTGGAGGTAGCAGAGAGCTTTTGGGTGTGAGTCATGCTGTCTGCTGCCGAATGAGTCACATCGCTGAGAACATCCTGAATCAGGGCCATCCTGAATCAGGCCAGGCCATTTATTTTTATTTTTAATTTTAGTATTTAGTATTTATAGGCTGCCCTTTTTCTTGTAAGGAACTTGGGCAGCTTACCTGGCCGTCCTCTCCCTCTCCAGTTTATCCTCACAACAACACCCCTGTGAGGTAGGCTGGGCTGAGAGCCTGTGTCTGGTGCAGGGCCCAGTGAGCTCCATGGCTGAGTGGGGACTCGAACCCAGATCCCCCCCGAGTCCTGGTCCCTCTCTCTCGCCACCACTTCCTACTGGTCACCGGGTCAAGCAGTTCTGCTCACAGCACCGCCCCCAGACTGGGTTTGTTGGGTGGGCAGCAGAAGGCGCCAGTTGTCGGCACGCACACCGCCCCCCACGCAGGTGCCAGGAGTCCGGAAGCCGCGGCGGCCCCTCAGTGCTCTCCTCCCCCGTGTTCCCTGTCCAGGTGCAAGGTCTGCCCGCTCACCTTCTTCACCAAGTCCGAGATGCAAATCCACTCCAAGTCGCACACGGAGGCCAAGCCGCACAAGTGCCCGCACTGCTCCAAGTCCTTCGCCAACGCCTCCTACCTGGCGCAGCACCTGCGCATCCACCTGGGCGTCAAGCCCTATCACTGCTCCTACTGCGAGAAATCCTTCCGCCAGCTCTCCCACCTCCAACAGCACACCAGGTAAGTGACGGAGCTGCCGGCTGCCCCCACCCGCCCGGCATCCCTGCTGCCTATTTCATGGCTTTGTCAGGACAGGGAGGGAAGCAGCTCCCATAATTGGAAAAACGGAAACCCTACTTTTTATTTATGAATTGCATATGATATATGAAAATTGCATATAATATATGAAAACCTAGGATGGGGTCCAGGATCTGCCATCGGATGGTGGAAGGGCTTTGCTAGACCTGTCCTCCCCTGCAGAGGAAGGCGGGACGCGCTCCAACGGAGCAAAGTTCAGGGAGCCAAGGTTGCATTTGGATGCCAGGAAGCACTTCCTGACAGTCAGGACCCCGAGGGTCTGGAATGGGCTTCCACGAGAGGCCTTTGAGGCTCCGTCGGTGCGGGTGTTCAAGGATAGGCTGGACGTGCACATGGTGGGCTTATTGTGAGCAGAGCCTGGGGTCAGACTAGATGGCCTGGGAGGCCCCTTCTGACTCGCTGTTTTTATATGTTTCTAAGTTGGGGGGTTTCCCTCTCCATCACAGCTCCGCCCTTTCAGTGGGGTGTATCCTGACCCACTGAGTAGCATTTTCTGGTGACTGAAGTGTCTGCCGTGGAGGGTAGGGGCTGGAAGCCTAAATCTGGATCTACCCCGAAGTCTCTAGTCCTGTGTCTTTTCTGTGAAGCCACATCTTGGAAATTAGACGCGAGTATTTAGCTTAGTGCAGACTTCGTTACTGCCGCTTTGCAGTGCTGTTTTACCCTCAGTTTTCTTTTGGCATGATGTTTTGGAGGTTTCCTGTTACTTTTGGAAGGTGTTCTGCTGCAGTCCTGTGCAGAATAGGGAGAACAAGTTCTCCGAGTCCCAACATGGGGCCTGTGGAGCTTTTTCTGTTCTGAACATGCATGGGATTTCTGTCTTAGTAAGCTGCCCCAAAACGTGTGGAAAAGAACAGAGTTGTTTTTGTATCACTCAGTTTCCAGCAGAAAATGGACTTTCCACCCGGGGCAAGTAATTCAGTTCTGCCGCTCGCAATGTGGCAGAAGTACAAGGAATTGCAAGGCAAGAGAACAAGTAGGATGTAGCTGTGATAAACAAACCGCTACCCCACCTTAGAGGAGGCAGCATATTCCGCTTCTGCGTGAATTCCTGCAGCCTTTTCTGGGTAGTTTTGGATTCTTCAGTCCCCGGATTGCTCTGTGCAAATTCCACAACCCCCGCGCAACTGCGGGCACATTGGCTGCTGGAGGATCCGGCATACCTCTCCATGCCTCCACTTCTCCAGCTTCAGTCCGGACATGAGGCTCTTTTTACAGTGTCACGATATTGCCTGATTCATCTCCCTTCTGGTGAATGGTGGCTCCCGCTCCCTGCCTTTTAAATCCTCAGTCGGCATCCCTCAGTTCATGTTGCGTGCAGATGCTCGCCTATGGCGAGGGCAGATCACCAGAAGGCGACCAGGCAGTGGGGCATCACTGCAAATGGGAAGGGAGCAGGCTGTTTCTCTGTTCAGGCCTCACGTCTTCATTCGGGAGAACCTGGCTATTGGCATCTGGATTTGTTTGCAAACCGCCTTCAGTCATCTTTTCTCTACAGCTGAGAAAGACGTAAAGGTGCTTGCAGGCACAGCAGCCTCAGCTCGGAAGAGGGAGGCGTCTCTGTATGAGTCCATGTTCTGGCCGTGTGTCCTTCTGGCCAGCCTCCATGGTTCAGTGTAGTGCATGTGGCTGGACGTTTCACTCTCCGTGCGGAAAGCAGAAATGCTTGGACTTGGAGGAAGCTCTCCACTGCCCCTCTGCAAGTCGTACTGCCCTGACTTCCTTCCCGGTAGGGAAGACCCAGGCAAAGGCTCAGGGCAGCTCCTAAAGTAGCTCTTCGACTTCATTTTTTCTAAAAGGTTTGGAAAGACTGGCCTAGTCTAATTCTTTTTTTTTTCACTGAAGCCCTGTGATTTTCCCCCTTTTGTCCAAAGGGTAAGTTTCTAGGCCTCAGGAGCTCCAAAGAGAAGCCCAAAAACGTTTCTACTAATACCACCGTTTTAAAAACCGGTGCCAGTTTGCTGTGCATCCTTATGTGTATTTTCTTTAACAATTCTCGGCCATTATGCAGTATAAACAGGTGTGGAACGGCAAGCACAGTGACAAAAAACAAACAGAGCCATGTTCTTTAAAAGGCACAGAACAGTAGGCAAAAATCGTCACGGTTTTCGTGAACGGGGAAATAAAAGAAGGTGCTGCCTGGTGCTGAAAAGATGGCAGAGGAGTAGGCATGTCATAAACGGTGCCAGCACTGAGAAGGCGCTGTCCTGCGTTGCCTCTGAGATTCGGATGATGGCGGCACATGGGCAGACAGAGTGGGGCGCTGCTTTCCACCCCCCACTCACATCACGACTCCTTGATGTGCCGATGCCCATACTGAGACAGCCTCCCCAGACGAGCCCACCCTTTCCACTGGGCCGTTTTCGTGCCAGCTCCCTCACTGCTCTGTCCCTGCTTTCCAGAATTCACACCGGAGACAGACCGTACAAGTGCCCCCATGCCGGCTGTGAAAAGGCCTTCACGCAGCTTTCCAACCTCCAGGTGAGCAAGGGCTGGGGGGCAGGCTGTGTGGAAAGGTAAGGCAGCCAGGAAGTACGTCTGAGGGGACGGCCGGGCTGTGGGAGAGGTTTCCCTGTCCCCCTCTGCTGAAGTGGCAGACCTCTGCCCCAAGAATGAACACTGCGCCACAGGATCCGATCCAGGCTCCGTCCAGCCCAGTCCTTTCTTTCCAAAAGTGGCCAGCCAGATACCTTTGCAAATGCTCCAGTTGTTTTCCCCTGAGCTGAGCAGGCAGACTGCTCTTGAACATGGAGGTTCGGATGAGATGTCAGGGATACCAACTGCCCATATGACAGTCTGCTGGGAATTTAACTCATTCTTAGTGGTGGGGTGGGCTGGCAATTTCTTTCTCTGAAATGGGTTTGCCCTCACAATTTGCAGGCAAACGCCAGGGAAGGCTGAGGCATCCCCATCTCGCATTTTTGAATTAAGACCAGGCTGCTCCAGGTGTGCGTAGCGGCCCTCTGCCTGTGGAAGCCAAAGCTGCAGGAAGGGGGCGTGGGGCCCTTCTGTCTCCACACGGGTCTGTCGATGATTTTGGGCAGCAAGCCGGCATTCTGTCCCCAGGGCCTCCTTTGCACGGCGGGGGCTAACGCGGCCACGGCACCGTGGCAGGTCAGGAGCGTGGGCTGGAGCTGGGCGCCCAGCGCATCCCTTCCTTGCTGCGGATCCTGGCGTCCCCTCCAGCCCTGCTGAGTTAGGAAACAGCTGCGCAGGCTCTGGTGGAAGCTGCCAGTCCAGGGAGTTGGTTCAGTCCGAACGGGCAGGTTCTGGAAGTGGCGGCGGGGGGGGGGGCGTGTGTTGTGCCGGGGGCCCGGCTGACGGCTCCCTTGGTGCCCGTCCCTTCCAGTCTCACCAGCGGCAGCACAACAAAGACAAGCCGTACAAATGTCCCAACTGCTACCGGGCATACACAGACTCTGCGTCGCTGCAGATCCACCTCTCGGCACACGCGATCAAGCACGCCAAAGCCTACTGCTGCAGCATGTGCGGGCGAGCCTACACTTCAGTGAGTACGGGGCACAGGGGGGACCGGGCTGCGAGGACGGAGCCAGCACTTGGCAGCCCTGTGGGGCACCCCGGGCTGCCCCGCCACACACCCAGCGGACAGGGAAGCCCAGCCTGGAGCGTCAGCACGTTCCGGGGTTATTCCCGGGGCGTGGGGAGTTAGGGCTTTTCCTCGAGGCAGGGGTCCTCAGCCCTTTTTCATCCCTGAGCCCGTTTGGAATGCTGAGTGTGTCGTGTGTGAGTCAAGGAAGGGCCCTTCCGGTGGCGGGACCTATCTGAAGAACCAGGTTTTCCCCAGAAGGCCTGCTGAGGGGACGAAAGCAGCAGCTTGCCCAAGAGATCCAGTCCAAGGCCGGGGCGGGTTCTGCGCTCCAGACGTTCAGCCCGCTCTGTGGAGCCCAAATGCAGACGGCTCTGCAGGAGTCGCAGTTCCGCTTTGCAGACTGCCTCTCCCCCAGTTAAAAATAAAATAAAGAGGCCCTCGCAAGCAAGAACCGTGAAATCCGGAGGGGCAGCGAGTGCTCAGCAGGCCCTGCAGCGGGGGCCCAGAGGGGGAAGCCGGGTGACCATGGACCTTTGGGGCGCATGCCCGTTCCCGGGGTGGCATGGAACCCCCGTGGCAGCGCACGAAGCTGCCGCGTTGCAGGGGGCCCGCAAAGGAACCGAAGCGGACTGGTGGGCAAAGTACGCCCGCCCGAGGGAGATGGAAAGCTCCGCACTGGAGCTCACTGCCAGAGCAGAAGGGAAGCAGGCCCGAGGAGGGAGGCAGGAGGCCCCCGATGCCGGGCGAGGGGGTTCTTCCCGGAGGGGCTGGCTCATGGCCCCTTGTGGCAGTTCAGCAGGCGGGTTTTGCCGCCCAGACGCCTGACTCTCACTCCTCCGCCCGGGGTGAGCAGGGCAGAAGCGCCTGGTCCCTCTGCAGGCGTGTGGCCACCCTTCACAGCCACGCCGAGCCCCCACTTCCTCCCCCCTCCCCAGCCAGCCCCACTGACTTCCGTTTCCCCTCCTGCAGGAGACCTATTTGATGAAGCACATGTCAAAACACACGGTGGTGGAGCATCTAGTGAGCCAGCACTCGCCTCAAAGGACGGAGTCCCCCGGCATCCCTGTGCGGATCTCTCTCATCTGAATTCTGGGGAGACCTTCCCCTTGTGTGGCACCCCCTCAGATTCCGGATCCGGAAGGGGAAGGACAGGACGGCTCGGAATACGATCCCACAATCCACAGGTTCCGCACCACCTTTTCCACGTCCCTCCTGGCACATAGTGCTTCTCCCTTGCAGCCAGAAGAAAAAGACCAAATCTGGCTGGCAAGAAGCCTCGCCCGGACTGTGCTCGGGGGAGCGGGGCAGCTCCTCCTTCTGCTTGGGTGGCAGCCAAAGACGATTCCAGAGCACTTTGAACTGACACGCCTCTTTCCTCCCCACAGCGCACATGGGCACCCTTGCTTTGGGGTCTTCTCTGTGGTCTCTTTTCAGCCGTAGGGATTCCCCTCACCATTTCTAATTTTGGATACAAAAACGTTCTCTCCGTGAGCCCGCGACAGAGAATGTCACAAAGGCCGGCCACGGACTCCTTCCAGACTTGCCCCGGGCCCTCCTGGACGGGAACGGGCCGGTGCCGTAGCTGCTGCTCTCTGCCGATGGTGCCCACAAGTCCTGGATGCGGGCCCACCTCATCCGGCCTCCACAGGTTCCGTCACTGCTCGGCTCCCGGGCCAGGAAGCGCAGAGGGCACCGCGTCCCCCTTTCCAAGCCTTTGGAAGACTGTACGGTTGGTTGACTGCACGGCACACCCGGCACTGCGAGGGATTGGTGGCTGCACCGGCGTGTCTCCCTCTCGGCAGCGCAGGGCTCCTGCTGCCAGAGCCTCAGCGGCAGCTGAGCCAGTGGCTTTGCAGCCCCCCGCCCCACCCCCCCGGTCTGATGGACCCCATGTTCAGCACTGGACATGGCTGCCGCAGAGCCCAGTTGGCTTTTAAGCAGGGCGCTGGGTGGGGAGAGGGGCGTCCGGGCTGGGGTGGGAGCGGACGCACACCTGCTGGAAGCGCCCGACTGTGCCTGTTTCTGCGTGGGGCTCTGGCCAGCCCTCCTGCGCGTCACACGCTTGGCTCAGCCAGCGGCAGCTCCTGTCCTGCATGCGCCGTTCTGTGTTGGCCCGATGCTTGCTGGCCAGGCGGAATGGGCGGAACACACGAGGAAGCCGGCCAGTGTCGCGAGGGCGTCCCGATTCCCGGGGTCCCCCCGCCTGCCCGCTTGTGCAGCTCGGCACATGCCCGCCCTTCAGCCGGGAGGCCCCCGGGCCAGGCGGACTCCGCTGGGATTGCCATCTGGTGCCTGAGCCAGCAAGCTTGGCCAGCAACGCGCAAGAGGTGCCCAAAAGCCCTGGCTTCTGGGCTCCCTCGGAGCGCAGTGGGAGGCAGGCATTTGCCGGGCCCTGGGTGAGCCACGATGCCCGGGGCCGTGTCTTCCGAACCACCTTCCAGCGTTTGGGGCAAGTCTTTCCCAAAGGGCTGCTCTTAAAGAACGCGGCACCCCACAGCTCTGGGTGCCGCTGCCAGGAGTGGTGGGTCTTGGGAGAGAGAGTGTCCCTGAGCTGATGATCTCTCCCACGCACCCCTTCTTCCGCAACGCTCTCGGAGCGGGAATCGCAGGGCTGGCTGCTCCATCCCCGGCCAAGGCCTTGGAAGCTTCCAAAAGCAGCAGCAGGGGGTGACAGAGGGACCCCAGCTACCTCCACTCCACACTTCCTCCGTAGGTAGACCCCCAAAGAACAGAGGGGTCGGCCAGTGGGTCCCTCTCCGTGAGCCCACGCAAGGGAAGATGAAACTGCCACACACGGCCGGGCCCTCCAGCCCCCCAGCCACAAACACGCGCGTTCCCGTGTCCAGAACGGGACGTAGCAGCTCGGGGCGATTCCCTGGTGGGCCGCACCAGAACGCCCCGTGGGAAGCCACCCCACGGTCTCCCCTGCGCAGCTCCCAGTGCAGAGCAAATGATGGTTTTTTGTGGCTTTTAGCAGTGTGTGTGATGTCACGACACACCTTGACCCAGGCCGCTTCACCAGGTCCTTAGCCTCCCATCCTGAGCAAAGCAGACAGTGTGGGGGGAGGAGCTTACCAACCCCCCCTTCCAAAAAACCAACAACTTAAAAAACACCTTTTTTGGGATATGAATTAACTGTATTTTTTTTTTTTAAGAAAACACTTTTTAAGCCTTAAAATGTTATCATTTTTTAAAATCAGGATGTTTTCATTGCTGGTCATATTGATTTGATTTGCTCCTTTTTCTGTTTCCCTTCTGTCTCCCTCTGTTTTGAATTGACGTTGTATGATATTCAATATTGTAGCCTTTTATTTCCTTTTTTGGTCCGCATGTTAATAACTGTGTAAATAGGGTTCTTATACATGATGTTAACAGCTCTTTTTTTCTATATAAAAGCCCAGGACACATCTAGCTAGGTTCCTAGTTATTATCATACCTTATTAATGAAAATGAGAGGAAAAGCATCTTTAAAAGGGTCTCTCCCTCCCACCCCACCTGCCACCCTTTCCTCTCAAGTCTCGCATCGTGGTTAAAGACAACAGGTGGGGGACGGAGCACTTCCTGCTCCCAAAAGCCGTTGGCATTGTTTTAAAATGGAAACAAAATAAAATTGCTTTGTATTCTCTGTTGTGGAAAAAAAAAGAATAAAACAGTCTTTGCAACCTTGGGCCTTGCGTGGCAAGGGCTCTGCTCTGCGGCGGGTGCTCGGAGGCAAAGCGCCCAGAGCCAGCGGTGGGCTTTTCCAGGGACTCAGGACTCCGGGAGACCATCTGTAGGATGAGCTGCCCCAAAGAGGCCGGTGAAGCATCCCCCCGCCCCCCGGGCAAGGACAGCACCCCGGGTGGGCCCGGACCAGCTCATCTCCCACTAACCTGGGCTGGCCTTTGCACCAGGGCAGCTCGGCAAATGAACGGGATTCGCTTCCCAGGCTGCGAGGGACTCGGCGCCCTTGGGGTGGCAGGCAGACGTTCCCAGACTTGCCCCCTGCCCTTTATTGCTCCAAGCCAGGAGCCCATCTCCTCTGGGAACTGCAGTCTCCATGGGCAGGCATGGTCACTCGCTCGCCACGGGCACTCCGTGCTGGACGAGGCTGGGTTCAGACCCGGTGCCAAAACACGCGCCCGGCAAGCAGAGCTCTCCAAGGGGCTGCTCTCCACCCAGCAAGCGATGATTATTTGACAGACATCTTTGGAAAACCTAAAAGTTCAGGGAATTTTTGAAGGAACAGCTCCCCTTACCGGGCTAGAAGGGTGTGGGACGGCCAGCGTCCACGCTCCATGCCACCGAGTGCCCCTATCCGTGGGCTTGCAATGGTCTGTGAACTGAAGGAGCTGCTCCAGAACTTCTCCCAGGACCTTGAGCAGACCTGGACAGAGTTTGAGGCCTACTATACAGCGATGGCTGGAAAGCCTCCGTGTGCCGTTGGTCAGGGCTGATGGGTGTCACAGTCCACTGGAAATCTCAGGGGGGGGGGGGGGACTTTTCCCCCAGCCTGGAGGAAAAACCCCAGAGGGCTTGGAAGGGCAGCTGCAATGTGAGCAGACCGTGTGTCTGGGAAAAGAGCAAGGCAAACTCTCCTGCTGCGCCCACGTCCAGCTCTGGAATGCAGCTCGGGGCCCCTCTTCCGGTCGATCCTTCCTTCTAGGATCTAAACACCGAGCGCAAGACTTCTCAACTGGCCAGGTCACATCACACACTTTGGAAAAACCACAAGCATCCCCAAATCAGAGAGGCCTTTCAAGTTCGTTTTAAAGGAAATTTATTAAAAACGAGGTTTGCAGGGAAACCGTAGAAAGTCCTTTTGCTGCAGCCTGGAAGTCTGCGGTGAGTGGCCAGCACGATGGCGGTTGAGAGAGGACTGCGCACAAAAACCGCGGTGGGGGAGAAGCAGCGCAGCTGAACTCCCGCCTGCGCCCTCCCCCCTCCGCCAACCCTCCCAGGAGAGCCCCCCACTCCCGACATGTCTGAGGCCAGCCCCATCTTCGAGGGCGGGGGCCAGGCCCTCCTGCCCTGCCTTGCTGTGGAGCGGGGCCGAGGGTGCTCGCTTGCGGCAGGCATCGAGGGGGCGTTAAGGCAGTTGCAGACTGGCCCGGGGTCTGAGGCCTGGCTGCCTCCCCTTCAGACGCCAAGCCAGACCGGGGGGGGGGGGGGCACTGGCCTTGCGCGGGCCCCCGGCCTCCAGCGCTGTGGGCCCCGCACCAGATTTTTGGAGAGGGGGTCATCCACGTGCGAAGAGCCGGCCAGTCCGAGGAAGGGCGCCCGCCTCTCCCCCCACGGCTGCGGAAGCTGCAAACTCAGAAAAGCTGCAATGGGGGAAAGGAGCAGGGCACTAAGTGGCGCCACAAGCGCGCGCGCGCACGCACGCACAGGCACGCCGACACAAGGAGTTGAGTTAAGGCAACGATCCTGTTTGGCTTTGAGGTTTCAAGTAGGTCTGTCCGATCCAAGAGGGGGCTGGGGCCTCAGGGAGGAGGAGGGCCAGTGTGAGGGGGAGGACAGCCCCCCACCGCTCTCCCGCCCCGCCAGGTCGCCCCCCACCGAGGTGGCTCCACTGGGGTGGGCGGAAAGGGACGCTAATGCTACAGGTTATGTACAGCCTTGCAAGCGGGCCGCCCGGCCAGCCAAGCCCCAAGCGGGTGGGCTCCGTCTCTTCGCCCCTTCCTTTGGCGGGGGCCTTGTGCTCAATGACGTCGTGGTCTTGGGGAGGGGCTGCTGGAAGCATGTGAGTCCGTCCTGCGCCCCCCCCCCCCCGGAGAATGCGTCCCGCCGGGAGGCCTCTAGGTGTCCTTCAGCATACAGATGCGTGCGTAGATTTTGAGTGCGGGGCCCAGCTTGATGTTCATGGCGCTCATCAGGTGGTCCTCCTTGAGCAGCAGCAGCGCCTGCCCGTCGATCTCCTGCGCCCGGAACTCCTCCGCGATCTCCTGGCAGCCTGCGTGGGAAAGGAGGCCGCTGCGGTCGGCTGCAGGCACAACCCCCCTGCGACTCGAGCTGAGCACGCCGGTCTGGGTGCGGGGCTGGGTGTGCCAGATGACCCCCAGCAGGACAGGCTGGAACAGCTCCCACCACCCACCTTCCCAAGGCACTGGGGTGCCCCTAATCCTGAAGGGAGCAGAGGGCCTGCAAGGAGAACCACTGGTGGTCTCCTCCTCCTCTTCCTCCCCCTTCTTAAGCCGCCCCAAAGCGTGGCCATCAGAACATCTCTGAATGCTGCCATTTAATCATTCCTGGTGTGGCAATTTGTGAGGAATCTGGTTTGGAGGGTGGGAATCCCACCCTCCAAACCAGAGGGCCTGGCTCCCTGGACTTCCAGGCCTGGCTCCCCGGACTCTGGCGCTATGTCCAAGCGTTCACAGGTGCGTCTGGCAGGAAACAACCTGCCCGCAAGGCCAGTTTGCATGTGCACCCCCCCGCGCCTCTTGGGCAAGCAGAGTTCTGAGTCCGCGCACGCAACACACTGGTTTTTCTGTACTTTGCACAAAGAATTATGTTTTGATCAAAGAAGCCACTGGCGTTCCTAGGTGTTTGTGGACTCAGTCTGTTTGGCTCGCTTATTGGCCCAGAGTAAGTATGGAAAAGAAGCCCAGCGAGCCAGATTCTGTCCTGATCCTCCCATCCCTAGCCAAGTCCTTCCTCTTCTCAGCCCAGAATCCCCCTCTGGGCAGCTTCCCGGGGTGACCTCTTTAGGTTCCAGTACGAGGAGGAGAAAGGAGGTTCCTTGCCCCTTTCACCGTGCTGGATTTCATTTGTTCTTGCCTTTTCCCTAAGCTAAACTGTCCCAGATGTTGTAATCTTCCTCGTTCCCCCTTTCTACACTTTTTCCCAAGATCATTTTTTAAGGGAGATTCAGCAGATTCCCTCTCCTCTGCAATGGGGCAAGAGCGCAGGAATTCCAAAGCCAACTAAATGGGGGGCCCTGAAGATCGCGAGCTTGCAAAGCCCGGGGCCAGGTGAGTTTCCACTCTCCTGATCACAAAGAGGTTGGGCGCCGAGTGGCCGGTCCCCGCGCCTCTCCTGCCTGTGGCTTTTGCTGGCTGGCCGCATCTGGGAGACACGCCAGGGGCTTGCTCCGTGCTGCAGCAGGCTGGCCCGCCAGGACTGGAGACCACGCGTTCTTACCAGGCAAGGAGCGGATGAACTCGTAGACGTCTTCCACGTTCCACTTGGTGGGCTCGCTGGGGAGGAAGTGGTGGCCGATGCCCACCAGGTCCCGGACGTGGACGTCGGGCAGCTCCATGTCCCGATCGCCCTGGCGCCGCCGGGAGGCGGACGAGCTGGCCGAGAGCGGCGAGAGGGGCTCCTCGTAGCTGGAGTTGTCCGAGCAGCGGCTCGAGTCCTCCTGTGCGTGGGCGAGCTGCAGCGACCCGCTGACCGAAATGGGCCCTGCGCCGGGTGGCAGTGAAACCGGCGCCTGTGGACGCAAGCAGCACCAGAATCTGCCTGCTGCCGAGCCGGGACGGGTCCCTCTCCACCAGAGTGTCCACCTTGGCAGGGAGCAGCTCTCCAGGGACCCCAGCAGAAACGGGTCTCTCGCAGCCTCGTCAAGCTGGGGCCAGGCTCGCCAGCCCAGATCTCCTGCCCCTGGAGTGACCCCTCCCGAGCCACCGAGACCCAGAGCCACCTCCATGGGCGCCTCCCTTGCCTTCTGCAAGTTCTTCCCCTCTTCAAAACGCAACCCCCGGTCCACAAGCCTGGCTCCAGCGTAGCCACACGTGCTCCCACGGCCTCCAGGCCCAGGCGCCGGTTTCCACCTACAGAGCCCTGCATGGCTCAGGACCACCAGAGCTGGGGGAGCGCCTCTCCCCTCCGCAGTCTGCGTGGGCACTGCGCTCAGCCTCCGGGGCCTTCCTCCAAGCGTCACCCCATGGAAGGCTCGAAGCGGGAGGGCCTCCTGTCTGGCGGGCCTCCATCTTTGGAGCAGCCTCCCTACTGTGATAAAAACTCACCGTCTTTTTGGCACCTGGCCAAGACAGCTGTTTACAGAGGCTTTTATACAGGGGCCCTCAAACTTTTTCAACGGGGCCAGCTGAAAGGTGCCGGTGGGGGGCGCAGGCTGGTGAGGGGGTGGGCGGTGGGGCGCGTGTGATGGCTTGCTTCGCGGACATTGTTGTCTCTGAGCGAGTCCAAAACGATCTCTGTGTGAGCAAGCCACCACCTCACCCCGCGCCAAGTCCAAAACCTCCGAGGTGGGCCGGATCCAGCCCGCGGGCCATCATTTGAGGACCCATGCTTTTATAGAACCCAGGGGCCTGACGGGATTATCCAGGTGAGTCTTTACCTTTGCGAAGTCCTTTTTTAACACTGCATTTTAAAAGCTATTTTAAATTAATTAAAGTTAACATTTAATGGCATTTGTATTGTATGTTATTGTTTGTTTTATGCATGGTTGTTAACTGCCCAGAGAGCTTCAGTGATGCGGGAGTACAGAAATCAAATTAATAACAACCCCTTTCCTGTTTACCTGGGGCTATTTTGTACTGCAAAGGTACAGGGAACACCTTAAAATGGAGCCTTCAAAAGTTCCCAAAGGGTGCTTGATCTGCACACGTGATCGTACAGGGTTTTCACGCGATGCTGCCAAACGGGGCAAACCCCGTGGACGCGGAGCATCAGGGAGGGAAAGGAAAGGCAAGCTTTGATCGCTTTCCCTCCAAAGCACTTCAGGCCCTTGGGTGTGTGGCCAAAGCAAAGTTGCACTTGGAGACAGAATTAAACTCACTCACATGCACAGTCTGGCCATCAGCCCTTCGCAGCTGGACTCAATGCTGCTTTGCTCAATGCGACGCCTGTTCCTCTCCTCCCCTACAGAAATGCTCAGTGGGAAGCTAGGGATGGGCAAACACGCAACGGCCCTCTGGATTCTTCCCCGAAGCTTGTTCCATCCCGCTCACATTTTCAAGTGCAGGCATTTGAACAAAGTCCTTGCACTTTGCTACTGAGGGCTGCGTGGTGCAAATCAGCAGATCTGACCTTCTTTCTTTAGAGGGAAAGGCAAAATGAGCCTGTTCTCAGGATTACATTCGGCGGCAAACCCTGCCATCCTTGGCTGCTCCTTTTAATTCTCTCCCTCTCTCCCTCTCTCCCTGTAATAATTTACTGTCTGCCATACCACAAAGTCCAGCAATCTTACTGTTCTCATGCGTCAGGAGAGGACATTGTAGATGCATCTTCTTTGTTATCCTGTATTTTTTCTCAGATATCGAGAACTGATTAGTTTATTGTCTAAATGGTCTGGAAGAGACAATCTGTTCTATGTATCTAATTGTTCAGCTGACACTGTCCCTGGAGCTAGTGCAAAGGTCGCCGCGTTTATTTTCCTGCCACAGTTAAATGGAAAGCCCAGGTGACAAGTGCTTGACTGGCCTGGTTCGTAAGCTCTTTGGCTGTGGAGACCTGCTCTCTAAAAAGTGTGATGAACACCGATGGCAATTGATTAATCAAGTGAAGTCTCTGGAAAGGGGCTGAAATAAAGCGTCAGGGTGCATGTTACTCCTGGCAGGACCCTGTCCGTGACTGGCAATGGTTTTCATGGGTTATGCTGTGGCTGCTACTTCTGATCTGAATGCCAGACAAACTTCTAGTATGTACATTTTTCTCTTGCTTGGTTCTTGTAATATACATTAATTGCTTATTTTGATTCAATTGTTACTTACTGACTGATTTTACTCTGTTTGTTTTAATGAATTGTATTTTTTAACAGTTAAATGTTGTTTGTTGTGAGCCATCCAGAGAGCTGATGGCTACCAGGGTGGCATACGAATTAAATAAACAAGTGAACAGAGATGGTGCCGCCTATCACACCAGCTACCCAACCCAGCACGGCTCTCCAAGAGACCACGCTCCCTGCAGATGCTTGCTTAGCTGTAGCCAGCACGGCTGACGGTCAGGGGTCCAGCCTCTTTCAGTACGGAACGGCTGTTTCCTTTGGCCAGTGCAGCATATCACTGCCACGCTGAGAACAAACAAAAAACCGAGCTGAGCTAAAAAGGAGAAGTACCTGTTTGTTCTTAAATCACTTCTCCCATGTATGTGAGCATGTGTGCATAGAGATATCAATCTATCTAAGGAACACTCAAGTATAAAATTATTTCATAAGCTGCTTATAGAACATTAGAAAACATCACATTAATACGCAGGTGCAGCCTGAGTTCACACAACACCGCTATCCCGCGCTCAAGGAGCAAGCGGTGGTTCTTGTTGAATCATGAACTGTTAATGGAATGAGGGTCTTCGTGTTGTCTGAACCCACCCGAGATAATAAACCACCGTTTCTTAACCACAGACAAGCACACGATCCATAACCCAACAACCAACCATGGAGAAATAAATGGACTAGTGGAGTATGGAGTACCATTGTTTAGAAGATGGTTAGAGAAATGTGCAGCATGAAAAGTGGATCTGAGGTGTTGAGAGAAGATGCAGAGGATCTGAAGTGATTGGAGGATTTGTTGTTGGGATTTCTTTTGTGTCACATTTTGATGAAGTCTTGCAAGACAGGAAGAGGGATAGATTTGGGGGGCTGATTGTAGAGGTTGGATCTGCATCGAATTCCCTTGGCAACGTTGTCTATTTCACCTGGCTCTGTTTATTACGCTTGCTTTGCTTTCAAAAAAGTATTTTAAACAAGCCAAAAACCAACTGTGGGTTTTCTTCATGGGCTGTTGCAGTTAGCAAAGCTATGACTTGTTAGTGTGACTGCGTTCAGAGGACACAATTACCCATGTTTCAACAATCACCCCAGTTCAAAGTCCCCGAGATGCCTGCCTCCTTCCCCATGAGGTCCAAAATACTCCCGGTCTCTGAAACCCTGCGATTCAGAAAGAAGGGCCCCTCCGTGCTTACCTGCTTCTTGCTTTCTTTACTAAGCGAGGGAAGGGTCGTCTTGCAGGTTCGGCGCCGGCCATGCGAAGGCGCGCTCGGTTTCTGGAGTTTGCTGCGGTCGGGGTGAAAGAGGCCCACGCGTTTTGTGCACCCCACATTGTATCTGTGAGCAGGGAGGGAGAGACAGCACCAGTCATGGGCAACTCTATAAAGGCCCCCCCCCCCCCGCACTAACACAGCGCTCACACGGAGTCCGGAGGTACCTCTTAGCACACGCCATGGAGCAAAAGCGTTTTGACCGCTTGAACTTGTAGGCAAAGTCGAGGCGACCGCAGAGTTCACACTTCAGCTTTGGGGGCGACCCCTCATCTTTGGATTCTGCAGAAGACGAGCAGAGTTTCGGGAATGGTGGCCCCCGAGGGAGCTGGCTGCCCACCTTCTTCCCCGAGAAAGACAAATGCAGACTTCAACACACAGGCTTCTGGAGCCTTGGAGAACCCAAGAGGCCCCTGGTCCTGGTCCGTCCCGCTCAGAACCCACCGGAACAGCCTGTGCTGCTCTCTGCCTGCTTCGCCCTCGATTGCCCCCGACCAGGGAGCCACCACGAAGTTGCAGCAGCAGCCAAGTCACCCGACCTCTTTAGCATGCCCATTTCTGCTGTCCCTCTTGCGGCACTGAGTTCTGTAAGTTAACAGGCTACATGCCAGAATCCCCCTGCATGTCCCCTGCACTGACTCGCGCCTGATAACCTGCCAAGGGCTCCGATGCAGCATTCTGCGATTATTATTATACTACAGAGAAGCACCTCTCCCACCTGCTGTTCTCTCCTAATTTATACTTGCATCTGCTTCTAAATACTCCCCTCACTTGCCGCGTTCTGTTTTGGGAACGCAACGCGGGGGAAGACCATGAAGCTTTTCCTGCCTGTAACAGCTCTTGCTTTTTCGGCATTCTTCTTTCTCGTTTCTGATGCTTTAATGGTGCACGTGTGCTTCTTAACAACCAGCAGGGGCCTCAGAAGAGGGAAGGAACCTGCAAGCTTCCTTAGAAGCATGACCAGCAGAACAAAGTGGAAATTACTTCTGAGGAAATACGTGCAGGATCATGCCCATAGGCCCCTCGGGGTCTTTGCCATGTTTCCTGCTGGCCCAGAGAACTGTGGCATGCGCCACCATTATTTCAGGCCATACCGTGCATACCCAGACCTCCCTTGCACGCTGCTTCCGGCAGGGGACAGGTTCTTCAAGCGTGCAAGCGAGGTGGGGAGGGGGAGGAGTGCTCCCGGCCCCCGGGCCCCTTCGGAAGAATGGCCAGGAGGGGTCCGACCGGCTGCCGCGGGCAGCGGGGCGTCGGTGTGGCGAAGCGGTGAGTGCGCTGGACGGACTTGGGAGAGCGGGGTCCGGACTTCTCCGCAGCCACGAAGCGTCCCAGGCGACTCAGCCTAGCCTGCGCCAGAGCAGCAACGCGAAAGGGGGCTGGCGCCGAGCAGCTTATGCAGCGTGTCTGGAGCCCCCTGCAAGAGGACTGTCCCTCGATCAATGACACCGGGAGAGGAAGGCCCAGGTGGAGTGCGCCAAAAGGTCAAGTGCGCCCAAACTCCAAAGAGCAAGCTCTCCGCAGAAACCAGACCGGCAGAGCAATCTCGGCTCCCTGCTCAGAAATGGGGAGCACCCCACAGGGGCTCGGACAAGCAGAGAAGCCCTGTGCATTTGTCACGGGGACGTCCTGCAGCCGGAGTGCCTGCTTGTTTGCTCCCTTCCCTCACTTTACCTTCCAAACACCCCTGTGAGGGAGGCCAGTAGGAAGGCGGAGCAACTGGCCCAAGAGCTCACTAGCTGAGTGGCGCAGCTGAGGGACGACCCGTCCCCCGGGGAAGCCTGGCACCATTGTGAAATATGGTGCGCAGGTTCCTGCCCCAAGGAGCTTACAATTGGACAATACAAGGGAAGGCGAGGAAGGGAGGCGGAGAGACAGTGGTTAGGAAAGGTGATGCACTTTTAGGACAGGGCGATTCTGTGCACTGAAGGACAGTGTGAGGGAAGGGAAGGCACTCTGCACATGCTCAGGGTCCCCCTCACCCTTCCCTGTGGTAGCATCTCCCCAGCGCGGCAGACACGCAGGCCCCTGCGGAGGGCAGCGCCCACCTTGCAAGTAAGGGTCCTCCATCTCGGAGTCGGTGGTGGTCGTGTTGTCCTGCTGCTGGGGCTTGTTGGCCAGGAGGCCTTGCGCATACTTCTTCTTCAAGCTCCCCACAAGCAGCGAAGAGCGCCCCACCTGGGGAGAGAGGGACGGGTCGGCGGCTTCCCCAGGGTGGCCCCAGGCCTTCGGCACACCCTCCTCAGGGCCTGAAAGCCACGCACTGCTGCTCTCGCGGCTGCGTCTGTGCGTTTGGTTGCCGTGAATGTTTAATGCTTTTGTGACAGCAGCCCCTGAAAGGCAGGCTAAAAATCTTCTTAAATTCGTGAATGTAATTAATTGAACGAACATACGGTGAGGCAGGTGGCTGGAACGCCCAAAACCAGAGGCTGGGGATGCTTTGGGCAGAAAGGAGTCTCCAAATGTTTTCAGTTTCAATGCCCAGCATCCCCAACAACTGGCGACACTGCCCAGGAGGCCTTTGGGGACCAGACACCTGTCCTTGAACAATTTTAGCAGCCTTTAACCTGGCGAGTGGGATCAGCCTTCGGGAACTGCGGGTGGGGCAGGATGCCGCCCCCAGCTTCCTCTCGTGCCCCACTCCCCAGCCCCTTTCCTTACCCCTTCCTCCCCATGGCTGCACGGAGGGGACCAAACTTTTGGGGTTCCCCAGCCCACACACACCAATGTCTTCCTCTGCCCCCCTCCACCCCCCAGGCTGCCAGGGCACGGCCCCCCAGCACCGCCTCCGCCCACGGCGTACCGGGAACGGCTCAGCCCCCTCCTGGATCACGAAGCCCTCGATGACGTGGGTCAGGATCTGCGGCTTGACGATGGCCTGCGGCAGCTTGTTCTCGCCGTTCTGGGGGGCGGTCCCGGCGATGGTGGAGGCAGAGCTCCCGTTCCCCGAGGTCATGCCGGGGCTGCTGGTCTCCGGCGGCGAGCGAACCCGGTCCTGGCCTGCCTCTGTGCGGGCGGACGAGAGCGGAGGAGCGGTGGATGCGTGGCCGGAGACAAAGGCAGAGGCTCCGAGGGCGGGCCGCCCGGCCCCTCGCCCCCCCGACCGCCCTCCATTACCATACAGCTGACTTGTCCCTGCTCCTGAATGAGCCCTCGGCAGCCGTGCCGCACGGGGGGCGGGGGGAGCACACACAGGGCCGATTGTATGAGCGAGGAGGCGGGGGCAGGCGGACCCGGTCCCACCTCGCCGGATTTCTCGGGGCGCAAAGACGGCGCGTCTCCAGGGGAGCTCGAGAGCAAGCACCCTGCCACCCGGAGACAGGTGCCCACTCAGCCACCCCCAAGCCTTCCCGGGTTCAAATTCACCCTCCGCCCCGCCGTGCCCGCCCAGAGGAGGCCCGTCGTGTTGAAGCGATGCCAGCCGGACCGGTAAAAGCACCGCTCACGGTCTCTCGGGCTTCTGGGGATGCGGCGAGGCTGCCATGGGGGGGGCGGGGGGGGGCCGCACTGTGCAGCCACTTCTTGGGCTGTGCCACCGCTTGGCAGTCCACATGCAAAGGCGAGGGGAGCAGACTGTAGGCCCCCGCCCCGGCCACAACTTGCAGGAGCTTTTCTGCCCGCAGAGTGCCAGGGGGGGGGGACGAGGCGGGGGGCAGACGGAGAGGGCAGCTTGGCCTGGCTTCTCTCTGACGCGGCAACAGGGAGAAGTAGCCCCCTCGTGCCACCTGTAATAGGTGGCTAAGAGCACGCGGGACTACCCCGAAAACACCTGCCGCCCGAGATGCTCCAGAGCAAGCAAGTGCACCGCACACGGTTCACGAAGGGAGGGGCCACCGGAGACATGGCGGGCGGCAGAGAGCCCTTCTGCAACGCTGGCGCACGCTCGTGAGCGCTACAACGGCAAATTAAAGACTGCTACAACGGCAAAGGGTGGGCTATAAATGCAATGTAATGTTAATAAATAGAAAATGAATAGAAAAACCAGCCATCTGCAACGGAAAGTATCCCCTCTCGGGCAAAGCTTTCACCCATCTCCTAATCCGGGATGTTTCAGAGAACTTTCACGAAAGGAGCAATGATCTAACCCAAGACAACATGATCCATGTCCTCACACCATTCCCTGAAAGCGAGAGCACTACCAAGCATAGACAGAGGGCAAGAAATGCCAAAGGTCGCAGGAAGGAAACTGGCAGCAAGCCAATTCCCAAAGCCAGCAACGAACGCAGAGTGGCTCGGACAGCTTTGAGCACGGGGGTCTGTCCGGCTTCCTCCATGCAAGACTGTTGCTAGGCTTTGCTCTCACCCCCACCCCCAAAAGAGTTCAAGCATGGGGGACGGGGTGATTTCTCATCTTCCAAAGGCCCCCTAGCCCTGCTTGCTCCCTGCCTCCAAAGAACGAGTCTGGCAATGCTGCAGTGGGGGCTCGAATGTACCCTTGTGGCCACACCGGGAAGTCACGATACACGGGAAGCTTAAAGGGATCTGGGGGGCTATGGGGACAGGCTCCCTGGAAATTTTGGCAGCTGCGTCTGCACAGGAAGGTGGTGTGCTAGAACACTCTTTTGCCACAATGCGGGAAGCAAAGGGAATACAGATGGGCTGTTCTCTGAACCATCAGGTCTAGAAGCTTGAATGTTCTGAGAACGACTTGCCCTGGTGAGTATACAAGGTGGCACGCCTGTCATCGCATCTGGTGGGAAGGCCAGGATTTTTCTCCATCTACAGCTCCATATTTGCGTCTGTGGGCTGAGTTATGGAAAAATCCTCACCGTATGGGCAGGGGCTACACACCTCTACACACAGCTGCTGCCGAGGCAAAGCTGGGGCATGCAGCCCAACACAACTAGAAGGCATCTCGTTGGTATACAGGCTTATCTAAAGTTCTGAACAGTCACGAAGCTGGAGGAGATGACGCATGGGGGAATTTTGGGATAGGGCGCAACACCCACAAACTGTCCAGAAAAAGTGGGGTCCTACTACCAATTGTGCAGGACACAGGCCACGAGTACGGCGACACAGAGAGCCTGGACTTGCGGCGTGCTCAGAAGCCCCCTGCTAAGCAGGCAGATCAAGTCCCTAGACCTCGCGATACACACAGAAAAAGTTCTAAACGTCCCAGAAAGACTGCCTGCAAACTTGGGAGACGCGGGAAGCAGGTGGTCTTGGGCAGCCCTGGAACCGTCCCACCCAGCTTTCCTTCTCTCCTCATGGCGCGTGTCCTGCTTCAGTGCTCCCCATCCACTCGGCTGAAGCATTTTCAAATATGCCCCCCCCCATTTATGTGTATGTGTATTTATGTTTTCAGCACGAGCCACAAAAGAGGAAAACGTAGCCCCCTCTGTGCCCCTCAGAGTGGCAAGGTAAGACTCAAACTTCCCTCGACTGGACCCCTCTTCCAGGTTTTGCTGATTACAACTCCCATTAACCTGAGCCACCATGAACAAAGGGCATGCGTTGCAGTCCAGTGCTACTGGAAGGCATGAAGTTGGGGAAGGGTGACCCAAAGCAGCAAAAAGAATAAAAAGGCCACGCAAAATTAAGAACAATGGAGTTCTGTTTTAGATCCTTTCTTTCCAGTGCAGAACTTGGCTTTCTTTGGCACACAATACGGGCCCAGAAAGTGAAGCTACAGAGCCGGGATGCACAATTCCAATTACACAGAAGGACAATGCCGAGTCGCGACTCGTGCGTTGGAAATTATCCGGCGCAGATCTCCTTGAAGCGCACGCATGAGATGGCGCATAATCCTCAGCTGTTCAGGCGTGGTCAAGGCGCTGCACTGCCCACTTTCCAGGCCGTGGAGAAACCGGCCCTCGGCCCTCCGGACTGCCCGGACCCCCCCCCCCCCCGGCAGAGCATTAAATATTAACCGCCAAAGGAGGACGCCAACACCCGGGGAGTCGGCGCAAGGCATGCCGGGAGCGATCATTCCAAGACACAACAAAGGGGGAAACGCAGCTGCTGCACACACAGTCCCGCGCCCGTGGCCCTCTGCGTACCACCCAGCCGCTTGCGGGTCTGGCTGGGCACTCAAGCCAAGCCATGCCGCTAGCAGAAAACTGCACAGCGGCTTCCTTCGGCCGGCTCCGAAATGCGTCTGGCTCACTGCAGGGGAGGCGCCTCACTTCGGAGAAAGGGTCCTACTTAGCACAGGGGAGCAGCAGGTGGAAAGCCGCAAGTGACATTCCGGGCATCTCCAAGTAAGGCCGGGAAGGGATGCTAGACTTCCTGGGCAGCACGCATGCTATCAACACGTAAGCAGAACTCGCCACTGCTTCACAAGGAGTTGCGAGTCCTGACTTGGGCACAGAGCAGTTCTGAGCATCCCCCTGGCCAACCACACACACCAAACGGCACAGAATCTGCTCCGTACGGTGTGACCAGAGCATGCTCAGGCTCAGCATTTGTGAGCATCCAGCAGCCACATGGGGAAGGTTCCCACCACAGGTCTTTCTTACTCGGTCTGCAGGAGGAGTCCCCAAATTTTGAGCGGCTGGACCCATTCCAAGTTCCAAATAGCAAGTTGCCCGAGAACCCGAGGCACCGGCTTGAGCACCAAAGCACAGACCCCTCCCACCCCCCGCCAGCCAGCAAGGGTCGAGATTTTTTAACACAAAACGTTCTTGCAAACTAAAATAACATAAAAACAAAGGGGGGCCGAAGGGCAAGGAGCCTGGGGGATGCGTGCCATGTAGGAGACCCCGGGCTCGGGAGGCAATGGCTGGGAGAGGAGAACTTCACACATCTGTATGGCTGCCACATTCGCTCTCGCGCATGCACGCAACGTGTCACGGGCAGGTTCTCTACTCTGTTGGGTAGTTTGGAAGCACAGACACAGCTGCTGCCGCCCCCACAGCAGGCAGGAGCAACGCCAGAGGCACGTGCTGGAAGGGGAGCCGACGGTGGCAGCAGGCCCCTCGCAAGGACAGGTTTGGGGAACACTTTGGGCAGCAGACAGAGTGCAGATGTACAGGTGCAAATCCCTGCTTAGCCTTGATGCTCACTAAGGCGCAGGGTGCGACTTTGCCGCTCCGCGTGAAGCTGTGAGGTGGGAGGCCAGGGAGGACCCACAGAGCCACCAGGAGCTCCGTGGGAAACGGGCAGGGGGGTGTCAGCCGATGAACCGAGTGCCCTGAGAAGACTTCTCTTAAAATGCTGCTTGCTGTGCCTTTGGATTGAGCCCCATTTTTAATTTATTGACTGCGGGCTTGCTTCCCTTCCCTCCAGATGCTTTGGGCTGCATCTTGCAGCCTGGGTCACAGCCAACAGGGAATGTGGGAGTGGCCCCAGCCGCAGAAGGCCGCTATAGGTGAGGAAGGAGAAACCCCAAGTGAAAGACTGCGCCAAGGATTATGCATATTTATAATTCACATCTACGGTCGTGAAGAGTTACGAGCGTTTATTACCGTTCTTTCCTTAAAAGTAACTTAGGCTGGGAGGCCATTGGAAGGGGGGGGGGCTTCCACTCTCCACGCAGAGAAGGCTCCCCACCACAGGCGGTGGGCTCTGCCCCCATCCCTGCAGACTCTCAGTCTAACCTACCTCACAGGGTTGTTGTTGTGAGGATATGATTGAGAGGAAAAGAATTATGCAAGCTGCCTCAAGTTTCTTGGAAGAAAAAATGGTGGGATATAAATAGAATAAGTACTTAAGCTGAGCAAGCACAACCCTCTTCTCCCCATAGCACAACCCTCCAGAAACCAGAACCGGGGACTGTGTCAAGGAGACGATGGGAAGGGGAAGGGGAAGCGCTCCCGCCCGCCCACCAGCAGCTGCTGTCCCGGCTGGCTTGAGCCCTGTGGGGCTTCACAAGTGGCGGTTCCTACATAGAATGGACAAGTTCCTCCTTTTGCAGCCAGCAGGCAAGGGAGACGGCAAAGCCATTGCGGGGTTGTAGCTTTTCTTTTCTCACTCTTAGCATGCGTTATGTGCCACCAGTGAGGCAGAGTGCTTTACAGAGACTGAAGGGAGAGGTTCCTGCCCCCTAGGAGCTTACAATTGCATGC